CTTGGAGGATAAAGACAGCAAGGCCATTCCTAGGCCTCGGAACACTGTTAATCTCAAACTATTTTATTTTTTGCTTTTCTTTAAAGTACTTGTAATTTTTCATTTTTCAATAAAACAAGTAGTTTCTTTTTAGTATAATTGTTTTCTACTGTAAAAGTTGTTTTAGTAAGATAGGGTATTGAAAGCAGCGTTGGCCAGAATAATCAACTATGAGCTCTCTTCAGCCAAGATCAGGATCTAGGCTGAAGAGTTTGGCTGGAAAAACCAACACTTACTTTTTCTAAGCCAAGATAAGGATCTAGGCTGTAGGACATTTGGCAGGAATAACCAAACACTTCGCTCTAGGTTGACAGAAATAACCAACTTTGAGCTCTCTTCAGCCAAGATCAGGATCTAGGCTGAAGAGGTTGGCTGAAAAAACCAACACTTATTTCTCCTAAGCCAAGATAATGATCTAGGCTGCAGGACGTTTGGCAGGAATAACCAAACACTTCACTCAAGGTTGGCAGGAATAGCCAACTTTGAGCTCTCTTTAGCTAAGATCAGGATTTAGGCTGAAGAGGTTGGCTAAAAAAACCAACACTTACTTCTCCTAAGTCGAGATAAGGATTTGGGCTGCAGGAAGTTTGGCCGGAATAACCAAACACTTTACTCAAAGTTGGTTGGAATAACCAACTTTCAGCTCTTTTCAGCCAAGATCAAGATCTAGGCTGAAGAGGTTGGCTGGAATAACCAACTTTTAGTACTCTTCAGCCGAGATAAGGATCTAGGCTAAAGAATGGTTGGCTGGAATAACTAACTTTTAGTACACTTCAGCCGAGATAAGGATCTAGGTTAAAGAGTGGTTGGCTGGAATGGCAAAACGGATTACAAGGTTAAGACCGAGATAGGTATCTCAGCCAGAAAATGTTATACTTCATGCATTTATGGTAAGAGAAACAAGCATAGAGTTAACCGAACAAATAGTTGAACAAAAGAAGATTTCATTGAAAATTCAAAATCAAAGATACAAAAGGTGGGGCCTCAGCTCGGTTACACATTCTTTGCAATGAAGTAAAAAGAAGAAAATATGGGATTAAGCAAAAAGGTCGTCAAGATCTGCATCCAGATCAACTCGAAGCCCGGTTTCAGCAGGTAGCTCGGTCACATTTTCAACCACGTCTTCAACCGGAGGCTCCACCTGAGCTGGCTGAACAGCGGGATCATTGACGACGGCGGGGGCATTGTTGGGCTCTGATGCTTCTTCTTCTTCCTCAACTTGAAGAAATTTTTGTTGAACGACGTTAGCATACTCCGCCATGTAGCTCGGGATAAAGTGAGGAGGGGAATTCTGAAAAACCTCGGTCTCATCCCTTTGATCGAGCTTCAAGACCGCTGCCTTCCACCCACATTTGAAGAATATATCCTTAGCAGCTTCGCACTGCAAGATATAGGTGGCTTCACCTTCTTTATAACCGCGGTCTTCCGCGTCCTCCATCTTCTTCTCAAGCTCCGTTATCTCGGCGTTCTTCTTCTTCTCAACTTTAGCAAGCTCGCACAGATAACGGTTCTTCAGCTCAGTCAAGGCCTTTTGTTTGTTCACCTTCGCTGAATCTACTAGCCCGATGAGTTGGGCGACCTCTGATTGCAGCTCGGCCATTTTTTTGCTTAGCTTCGTTTAGCTCGGCCTTCTTGCTATCGGCCTCAGCCACGGCCAACCTTGTCGTCTTGCGCAGTTCCAGCACACGCTTATGCACAATGTGGTTTTTCTGCATGGCCTGCGAAATGAGAGAAAGTGAATGAGTAAAAACCGAGCAAACAGATGGTGTAAAATGAAAGACGATTAGGAGTACTTACCATCACCATTGACTATGTCACCGACCGGATGGCCTTTAGCTTAGTCAAATGGTCATGATTTTCCATGTCAGGGAGCAAGCACACACTCCTGGCCAGGTTAAAGACAAGTGTATGATCTTTGTCTACTACAATCGAATCTGCGCTTTGTATAGCTCGGTTCTTAAAAGTGAGTTTTGGGGCCCAGTTAGAAGATTTAGCCCGGTCGGAACGTTCGAGCTCTGGGCTGGGCGAAGTGATTTGCGGAAGCACGGTTTCATCCTCGTCAACAAAGCGTGGCTCGGTTATGGAAATCCGAGCGCGCTTGTTGGGCCGAGATGATGACGGCTGGACAGCTGGAAGCGCTACGACGGCCTTTTGTGTTTGGTCAGCTTGTGGTACCTCGGGTTGGTTTGTTTCGGTGATAAGTGCTCGGACTACTCTCTTCTTGGCCATTTCTTGCTCTTCTATTAATGGAATGAGGTTGATTTGTGGAAGGGTTGGATCGGGTTCTGGTGATGGCTTTAGAAGGAAATCTGTCACCCTGGTCCTCCTCTTGCTGCTGTATCTGTATGTCGGTTCGAAATTGAGTAGATCGGCCCAATTTCTATCACGATATCGAAGCGCGGCACGGAGTACGTTGAGATTAGGGTAACTGTACTGCGACTTTCAGATGGTTCAAGTCTGCATAAAAGTAAAAGGCCAACGGTTAGCACAGCACAAAAATTATCTCGGTCAAGAAAAGAAAGCACACACTAAGCCGAGGTATTTATACCGGCTACTCCTTTATTCCAGTTAATTCGGTCGCCTGGGATCTAGGCTTTCTGGTCTTTGAAGTTGCTTGAGACCCAGAAAAAGTCATCATCATTTACGTCTTTGTCCGGTGTCTTCTTTATTATTTTCTCTCGGCGGCGTCTTATTCTTAAATAATATACCCAGCCATCTTCGTTTTGGCCTAATGAATATTGGTGGAATAACTTCGCTAAACCGAGATTAAGGCCAAGCCGACAGTTTAGCTCGGCGATGCCATTTATTATTCTGTACGAATTGGTACTGAGCTGGGTTGGGCAAAGTCTTGTTTGTCGAAGGAATTCACAAAGCAGAGGCTGAACGGAAAAACGAAGGCCAGCCTCTACAATGGAAATGACGTTGAAAGGGACGAAGCCCGATTTTCCTCAGGGAATGGTGTCTAGTTCGGCTAATGAGAGGTGGACATCATCAGGAATTTGGTAATCCTTTCAGAATTCGGCTATGGCCCCTAGAGAGTTCACTAAAAATCGATACTTCACCATGTGGCCTTAAATTATGTATAATTTAGCTCGGCGGTGAGATGACTTTCGGTATCTCGGTTGAGCGTGCAAAGGTGTGCTTGGCCAATCTAAGTCAGTCTGCAAAGTGAAGAGGAAAAGTGTTAAGCACAGATCGTTGGGCCGTGCTAAAAGTAACAAAAGCAAAATAAATGGAATCTTAGCTCGGCTACGTGGGATACTATCCGTTCTTAGCCCAGTTGGAACGGAGTACTTTAGCTCGGTTAAGTGGAATGAGAGGTACGTAGCCCGGTTAAAGCCTAGGGTACAACATTCTTGGTTCGGTTTTGATTAAGTCAGAGAGTTGGTTTGGTCCCAAGTGATAGCCCGGTCATTGGTTAAGGCTTTCTAGTTTGGTAATGCGCACATCTAATATAGTTCCTTAGTTCGGCTAAGTGAAATAAAAGGTAAGACCTATTGGAGCTTAACCTAGTTCGGCTAGGTGCGCACCTTAAGTACAAACAGGTTGCTAGCTCGGTAGGAGTATTATTTTGGATCAAAAGTCTCATTTTTCAGATTTTTTGTGAATCTAGTGGTTCTATTACATGGTTTTTAGTGGTTATTTCTCAGAAAACTAGAAACCAAAACAGTGTGTTTTGAGAAACATGCGAATAATATGCTACATACTACAAAAAATAAAACAAAGGGCAGAGATTCAGTTAATTACCACTACGAAATGGAAGATCAGAGATTGGAGCAACAAAGGTGTTGGCCAAAAATGCAAAGCTTCGCAGATGCAGTGAACAAGACCAAAGAAACTCAGAAGGTGGAGAGAGAAGATGAATAGTAGTAGTGGTGGGTTCGAAACCTAGGGTTTTTGTATAAAGGTATAGGAAAAAGGCGGGACTGTTCAAATTTTTCGGAGTACGAAGACGGCGTGACAGCTATGCTAGGCCAATGAGAGCTAGCCACGTGTCCATGGAATAGAAAGCGATTCAGTTACAGTGACTGAAAAGACGTTGTGACTGGACAGATTAGTAGCCCGGTGTGAATTCAGCTCGGTTGAAGACCATTTTTTAGCTCGGCAGACTGAAAGGTAATCCCAATCATGCTACGCAGATGGAATTAAGGGGTAATTGAGAGGGAGTTTTATATGTGCATTAGGGCCGAGCTAGGCCCAGGCGTAGTAATGTGCCGTTTTGTGGGCCGAGGTAGAAAGGGCTTTGTGAAGTGGACCATGGTGTTAATGTTTAGCTCGATCCAAGTGATTACAGTCATCGCGGTCGGGATGGTGGGCTCCTTAAGCTAGACCTCGCCTCTTTAGGTCGGTCAAGGCTTGCTGCAGATTAGCCTGGTCCAAACAGGTGAAAACCGAGGTACAAGTAAAGCATGAGCCCGGCTAACTCACGTTTGTGTTTTCAGGGAGTAAAGCGACGACGTTTGGAAGTGCGCAGACTTGATCAACAGGATTATACGAGAAGAATTATTTTGTACTCGTACAATATATATCAAAATTTATCCTTATAACTTTAAGATTTCAAATCTCAAGAACTTTAACGTGCAAGTAAATTGTTAATGTCCTTAAACTCTTATATAAATTTGTAAAGGATGTCTCTTTAATTTTTTCCACAGAAGTGTACAAAAAACATCTAAAATATCATTTTTTTCCCAATTAATTTACTAAATAAAAATAAACAAATTTTTTAAATTAAAAAATTAAGATTTAAATTGATTAAATAAAAAATTCATACTTTATTGGGTTACAAAACTCAAATGTGGAATTCTTTTTGTAATTTCTTCTAATTTGTTAATTTTCTAAGGACATCAACGTTTTAAAATTCTAAAAAAAACCCAAAAATCATTAAAAGAATAAAAAATCAAAACCAAACAACACCTTAGAGCCAATTGATTATGATTTTAAACAGTTTTTGCCTGTCCCCCCACCCAACACATTCTCTCTCTCTCTCTCTCTCTCTCTCTCTCAAACAGTCTCAAAGCCAAAAGAGCACTACCCTCATTGGCTTTTTCTGCCTTTTTGCTTCTGTGCTTGCCATACAATTGTCTCTGTCTTTTGTTTCTGCTCCCTCTTCTCAGAACTGCAAATGGGTGAGGAATCATACTTTGAATTTCTTGCTATTATTTGATTCCTTCACTTTTCTTCCCATCTTTTAGACTCCTCCTCGTCGTCCTTCTTCTGGGTACCCTTCCAAACACCACCTTATGTAATTCTTGCAATGATTTGACTTGATTTCCTATTCCCAATTATATTTTTTCCCTTTGTGGGTTCTCTTCAAAACCCACTTAATTGGTCTCATCCTAACTTCAATTTGTTTCGCCTTTAATCAATTTGGTTTGGATTTTTCATGGAAATTGATCTGAACCATGCGGTGGTGAGTGAGGTGGAGAAGAAGAATGCATGTGGCAATGGGGGTTGTGACAAGGATTGTGGCTGTTTCTCTTCTTCAACTTCCTCATGCTCGTCAAATTCATCCTCATCACCTGCTTATTCTTCAATTTCCATGGAGCTTTGGCATGCCTGTGCTGGCCCACTTACCTCCTTGCCCAAGAAAGGGAATGTGGTTGTCTACTTCCCGCAAGGTCACTTGGAACAATCTGTCTCTTCCTCACCTTTTCCACCCATGGAAGTCACTGATTTTGATCTCCAACCCCAAATCTTCTGCAGGGTTATGGATGTTCAACTACTTGTGAGTAATGGGTTTTCATTATTTTTATTGAATTCTTTGTGATTTCTGTGTAATGGTCTCCTCATTTTTCCCTTTCACTCAATTAATTTCCCAGTCTTTGTTTTGGTGTTTGTAATATTCTTGAAACAGGCTAATAAGGAAAATGATGAGGTCTATACTCAGCTGACTCTACTCCCTCTACCAGAGGTATGCTTGCTAATCACTACTCTACTACTGCTTTGGATGTTAATTCTTGCTTTTGAGTCATTATTAGTTGAGAAATGTTTACCATGGTTTGGTTTTCAGAACTTGTTTCAGAATTTCTTTTTAAAAAAAATTAAAATTAATTTTGTGAAAGAAATAAAAAATTAAGAACACTTATCATTTTTATATAAATCTTGTAGGAGGTCGGAAATAATTTTTTAAAATTTAAAAATATCTTTTTGGATATTTATATTTATCAAACTAGTTTCTATTTTTTTCAAAAAAATTCTGAAAGACAAACCAAACATGGCAAACCCGTTCGGATTGAGAGATTTGGTGGGAAAAGAAAACAAAATGGAGAGAGAAAATAAAAAACAAAAAAACACTCGTCACTTATTTGAATGATAATGGAGGTGAGAAGAATTCTCTTAAAACTCATGTTTTGTTTTAACCAAAACTAATGCAATTTGGTGATATGGGAAAGCTGTTTTATATAAAATTTTCATAATACCTAGATTGTTCATACAAATATAAAGCAAAAAGAAAAGGCATGTGTGTTCTCTTTTAATTTTTGTTCATCCAAACTAAATGGTGAAAAATGACAATCATTTTTTTTTTTTTTGAAATCTAGGTGCGAAACCATAATCTTATCATTTATTTTCTATCTTAGTTTACTCTTTCTCATATTTTTTCTTTTGGGTTGGGGTTGGAGGGAATTGTTAATTAGATTATTGTGTTCTATTCTTTGTGATTGCTTTGATTCTTAGTTTTGGGATTATATTTTAGAATTTTCTTTTATTATAGGAGGCAGCTCAAACTTATCTCTTGATAATGGTTCAATTTTTCTGGGTATAATGTAGTTGGAAGTAATAAATTTAGAGGGCAAAGGCCATGGAGAGTTGGGGTTGGATGAGGAAGGGGTTGTGACACCCACAAAAACTCCTCACATGTTTTGCAAGACACTTACAGCCTCTGATACAAGCAGCCATGGTGGATTCTCTGTTCCTCGTCGGGCTGCCGAAGACTGTTTCCCACCTCTGGTGTGGTTTTCTTGCTTTGTTATGTTTTCTGTTTTTAGGTGTACTAGTTGAGGAACTTGTGATAGAGTTTCGAGAAAGTCCAAGTGCACAGAAGATTTTTACAGAATGGACACAGATCTGAGACAAAAAGTGGGTCCCACACCTTTGTTTCACATCTGTGTTCCATAATGTGAAAATCTTATGTGTTCTTAGCATACCTGTAGAGTTTTTGATACACTTGGTGGTATTGTTTCTGTTGTAGGACTATAAACAACAAAGACCCTCTCAGGAGCTTGTTGCGAGGGACCTGCATGGAGTGGAATGGAGGTTTCGACACATTTATAGAGGTAATTGATGGACTTCTGCACTGTGGTTCAGTTGAAGAGAAATTTCATAACTTTTGAATGCCGTTTTTCAGGTCAGCCACGGCGACATTTGCTCACTACAGGATGGAGTACGTTTGTAAGCCAAAAGAATATTGTCTCCGGTGATGCAGTTCTTTTCTTGAGGTATTTATGCTTATTTGGAATGATGAAGGTTCTTAAAATTTTGGACACCATGTTAGGAGTATATATGAGACTGGCAAATTTTAAATGTCAGAAACTTGGAAGATAAAAAAAATTAGGGCCTATTTGGTTGTGTTTTCATTTTTTTTTATTTTCATTTATTGTTTATGTTTTTCGTGTTTTTAGAAACAAAAAGAATGGAACATTTGAAAAGACCCATGGTCTTCATATAATTTTCATTTTTGTTGAAAACAGTTTCAAAAATTGAAAACAATTTTCTGTGTTTTCCTAAAAATGGGGTTGTTTTTAGAAAATTTTCCCCAAAAATGTTTTCGGAAACATTTGCCAAATATGAAAACTCAATATTTTTCAAAAAAATGAATAAAAACCTAAGAAGCACGGACACGGATACGGACGCGAACACAGACACAGGACATAACAATTTCAAAAAAATGGAGACACGGACACGGTGGGGACATGACAATAAAATATGTTTTTATATATTTTTATCTGAAACCTAAATTAATATTACATCCACAAACAATCAATATTAACAAAAACTAACTCTAATTCTATTTTTTTTTTTAAAAACACTTTTAAATTAATACTTCCATTTTATATATTTTTTTTATGGATTCTATTAAGTATTTAAATCTATGAAAAAATTAATAAACATTTAACATTCATCAAAAGTACTAAATAAAATGGGAGAAAAGACAACTTTGCATGTCCCTAGTGTGTCCCCGAAGTGTCACCAGCGTGTCCCTTGAAAATAAATTAATTAAATAAAGGGACACGCCGTGTGGTGTGTCCCATACGTGTTCCCGAAGTGTCCACGTATCCCCAAAGTGTCCGTGTGTCCGACATGGATATGGCACTTGTTTTGAAATGTCTGTGCTTCAATAATAAAAACACAACCAAAAAAGTCCATAGTAAACTGAATGCTAAAAGAGGATGGAAAAAATTCCCTTTCCATTTGATGGCCAAATGCCCACCCAAATGATTCTCTCATTTACTCATATGGATATCTTTAATTTATGTGTAATGGTCTTTGTAGGGGTGAAGGTGGAGAGCTGAGGTTGGGCATTAGAAGAGCTATAAGACCTAGAAATGGTCTCCCTGATTCAGTTCTTGTTAACCAGAATTATCAAAATGTTCTTTCTCCGGTGGCTAATGCTATATCTACCAACGGCTCGTTTCATGTTTTCTACAGCCCAAGGTACCACCAACCATCATCTCTTAGTTCTCCAATAGGATATCAGTCATGGTTGTTAGAATGTTACTATTCATGGTACAATTCATACGATTCGATACAAGTTTCTGGGAAAACAATTCAATTGGTATAGTTGAATCGTAATTTGAGTGAAGCTTATGATTCAGTTGCAATTCACTGTGTTTTGTTTTCACAAAATGGAAAAGTGGTCAATGAATTAAATTGATATACGTGATTTTATATGTATATACAGATATACAATTTAGTTATATTTATATTTATTTCATTTTAAACACTATGTATATTATGCTAAACAAAGTGAATCTTATGATTCACAATTCACTATTTTAGGAAAACAATTCATGATCTGACAACAATGATATCAGTGCATATAGAACCCTTGTTTGTACTACAATATCATCATTTGTACTGCCATGATTTCAAATATTCTCAAATGTACCATATGAGACCAATAGAACTATATGCCTAGTAGGCTCAACTTCATGATATATATTTCATACATATTAGTTATAAACTCGTATCCAGCCCCAAATGGTTGACATAGAACTTGTTCAGTGACTGGTTACAACAAACTTAATGAAAATATGCGGAAATTTGATATTAGAGGGTCCTTGAATCTGCTGGTCGTATTATTTGTCTAATAGGATCGCTCCAAACAAATAAAGAAAAACTATGAGAATGGGAAAGATATTGATTACTTTGAAAGGATTGGACCGCCCAGTGTTTTTAAAAGCCCGCCTAAGCTCAAGGTGAGTAAAGGCGCAGCTCTGTGCCTCATGCATAGCGAGGCGAGGCAAGGCGACATAGAGGAGTCGCATCTGAGGCGATGAGGCGTGCGCTTTTTTCAGAGGCTCGAGGCATGCGCTTTTGGCGCTTCGCGTTTCTTCTACTGCTACAGCCCATCTGGTTTTGGTGTGAATATCCACATGGAATAAATTCTCATTTACAATATAAAATGAGCAAAACTTGGGTCAAAAGAGCAAATGCGATCGCGATCGCGATCTCTGAGACGATGAAGGTTCGAGTCCTGTTCTCATCTCCTCTGGTACGACTCTTCCTCTTCTCTCTCTAGTGGAAAAAAACCCTCATCGTCTTCTCTCTCGCTTCTGTCTTGCTCAATATTGCTCTCTCTCTCACTTCTGTCCCTCTCTCTTTATCTTTTTGATTCATATATATATATATATATATTTAATATTATATAATACCTATTATATAATATATAATATATAATATACTTATAGCTAATATATAAAATATAATTGATTCATATATATATATATATATATAATATTATATAATACCTAGAATACCTATTATATAATATATAATATATAATATACTTATAGCTAATATATAAAATATAATTGATTCATATATATATATATATATATATAATATTATATAATACATATAATATCTATTATATAATATATAATATACTTATATAATATATAAAATATAATATATATAAATAAAATAATATATATATATTTTAAAAAAATTAATTGTTTTTTTTCTTCTTCTCTTTTCTTCTTATTAAAAAAATTAATAATCTACATATTAAATATTTGCTTATGTTGAAAATTGTACTATATTAATTAATATTTTGCTTAACTTCTATAACTTGCGCCTCGCTTTGGTGAGGCGCGCACCTCGCCTCGCGCCGTGCCTCGGCGCTTAGGCTCCAGGTGACCTTAGCGTCTCGATGCGCCTAGACCTTTTTAAAACACTGGACCGTTGACTAGATCTTCTTGAGGGAATCTTTCCTCCATATGGCATTGACATATATTTATAGGCTGATACAAATACAAGAATGAAAGTCAAAGAGTTGCAATTTTTGGCTTTTTTGGTTTTTTTTTAAAAAAAAAGAAAAAAAAAATACTTTTTAGATTCTTCTACACAAGACGGACTGGAAAAGTAAAAAGTCTTGACTTAATTTTGGGAAAAGATCAGTAAAGACAAACATTTGGAAAAAAAATGTGGCTTTTTTAGTTATATGCCAAACACCCACTAAATTGTTTCCATAATCAAACAAAGTATGTTCCAAAAATATCTCCCAATTATTCCACACAAGAATAGCTTGTCAGGTAGTGAACATCAATGTTGAACCTTTTTATTTTCCCTTGGTAAGTAATGTTAAATACCTTCATTTTTTTGTTGAATTTTCTTAGCCCTTGGAAGTTTTTGTTTGAATTAAAGAAAAGAAAATGAAAAACTAGATAGATTGAAGCATGTTCATGATCGATTGCTCCAAAAGCTTAAGTTGGTTGTTTATATTTTCAGCATTCCCCCTCATTTATGGCCAAACTATCCTGCAAGAGTGGGGGCAAACATGTGCAAATATTACAATTATTGAGTAGGTGGTGATATCTAAGCATAAAGATCTTTGCTTACTCCAAAACCATGATAATAACAATAAGTGACTACTGCGAAAACTTAAGCTATTCGAGAGGTTGTAATTTATTAATTTATATGCTCACCAAAACAAGATGTGCATTTCTGTTATAACGTAAAAAGAAAAAAAGAATGGTAAATTTTTTATGGATAATATAAAAGTAAAATTTATATTTCGCAGTTGAGGAACAGCTGACATCTAATAAGGTGATCGATACTGCAGACTTAATGAATGGAGATGGTGATGATTATTATAAAGGCTAATGATTGTTGGAAAATCAGAATAATGGCTCAAATGTTGGCCTGTATCAAGTATCATTGAAGATATTGGGATTGAAGTTTGTTAGTGACCAAGTGGAATTAGCATCTCTAACTAGAAATCTCACGGTTGACATTTAGTGGATTCAATTTAAATGCAGAGTCGCTTGAGGAATTCCCTGCTGTTTTTGTCATAATGTGCTCCCGTATTATGACATGTTTGAGGACTGACTTATACTTGTATGGTAATTATGCAAATATTGAGTCCTCTAAGTGGAATATGAGGTTATCCTACACTGCAGAGCCTAAACCAGCCTTATCTTGTGCTGATATTCTAGTCATCTTGAATTCTAGTGTTTGTAGTGTGACTCATACAAGTTTGTAGAAATGCTTCTTTGATCTATACATATATATTTGTATCGATAAGAAGTTTATAATTTGTCCAAATTTCTGGAATGCAGGGCCAGCCATGCAGACTATGTTGTACCTTATCAAAAATATGTTAAAAGCATCACCAATCAGATATTTATTGGGACAAGATTCAAAATGAAATTCGATGTTGATGATTCTCCAGAAAGACGGTCTGTATAATTTGATTAAATAGCATGACAACTTTTTACTCCTAACGAGGACCCTATTTTAAGAATTTGAACTTATTCTCTCTCTCTCTGTCTCTCTCTCTCTCTCATGCAGCGGTGTGGTGACTGGAATACGTGATTTAGATCCCTACAGATGGCGTAACTCAAAATGGAGATGCTTGATGGTATGGCTATTCAATACGCCGCTATTTTTTCTTCTAATATGTTATGGCCGTATCCTTTATGAATAATTATTGGTATTTTAATGACAAGTGGGTATGTGTAATTTGGGTGTGTTTGTTTTAGGGGATTAGGGGTTGGGATTGGACTAAAAAAATATGAGGGCCCGCATTGTCAGAAGTTGTCTCCTAGTCCATCATTGCCCCACTTTTGTTTTGCTGGACTAGTTGTTCCTCTGGATTACTAATACCCCATTTTCTTGGGATTACTGATCTTCTCTCCTCCATCCGATGGCTAAAATAATCTTTCAAATTTTATGTCATTTTTATCCCACTCTAACCAAACATAGTACAAATAATTCCATGGTATATATATACCTCTGAAACACATGTGCCCTTTTACATTTTGGAGAAGTCTTGGAAATGTTGGCTAATTTTCAAATTGTTAGCCAAAGATTAAGGACTTAAATCTTTCCTGTCCATGGTTTCTATCTGACAGTCGCACATAGCTTTCATCCAAATACAGGTTTGCAACGTCGTATTCTTCTAACGAAGTTGCAAACGAAACTAACCTAAAAAGATACCCTTCGTGCATAATGATATAATCAGGAGACCACCAAAATGTTTTGAGTTATTATGAGCCATCCATATAGGCAGATTTTGGTTTAGGATATATTGTGTTTAATTAGATGGGTCCTATCAATGAACATTACTGCAATTACATTCAGATATCACTAAAGATACAGACACACAATAAACTACTGAATAAACTACAATGGAGCCTACATCCATGTTACATGGACTCGGGTACGAATGTTGGGTGTAGGTGCGTGTCTAGAGATCAGACTCGTCAAATTACAAATTTTATAGTACACTAGACAAAAATAGTCATATTTTCATATTTTTAATATATTCTGTTAGATAAAATTGTGTTATACGTACATATAGTGTCAAAAAGGTATCTTATTCAGACTCATCAAATTACAAATTTTATAGTACACTAGACAAAAAGAGTCATATTTTCATATTTTTAATATATTTTGTCAAATAAAATTGTGTTATACATAACATATAGTGTCAAAAAGGTATTTTATTCATTTTATAACAATTATACAACAATATATACAAATATGATAGTGTTAAATACAAATATATAAGACATAGCCCACACCCTTGCCAATTATCAAGTGTCCGACATAGGTATTTGATTCATTTTGAAAAGTCCATGTAACATAGTCTACCTCCATTTAATCATGTTGTAGTTAATTGTGTATCTATGGATTTGTTCATATATTCTTGTCTATTGTTTTCTGTTGTAATTATTGTTTAATAAAAGAAATTTGATAAATGGAGTTCTTTAATAATCATGCCTCGTGATCTTTCTAATACAAAAATCCCTGCCATCATATCTATGATTCAATAGGTCAGATGGGATGAATCTATTGTTAGTGATCGTCAAGAGCGAGTTTCTCCGTGGGAGATTGATCCTTCTGTTTCTCTCCCACCATTGAGCATCCAGTCCTCCCCAAGGCTGAAGAAACTGCGGATGGGTCTGCAGCCAACCCCACCTGATAACCCTATTGCTGGTACCAATTTTCCCATTAAATTAGTGAAAGTAAAATTTCGATGTTTGGTTCTCAAACTCAATTTGTTTTTGAGTTTCTTGTTTTCCTTGTTTTTTTTTTTTCCAGTGATTTTTTTTTCCTTCATGTTTCGGACAATTTTTAAATTTTTAGATGTACTTAATCTAGATGCACTTAAAAAGTAAAATATTTGTGAAGAAATATGAAAAAAGTTCACTAGTAAAGACAAAAAAACAGCTCATTTTCCCTTCTTTTTCTTTTTTATTTTTGTCTTTAGTGAACTATTTTTCCCCAGATTTCTTCATAAATTTCTTGCTTTTTAGCTGCATCTAAAAAAAAGATTAAAATATGAAAAAATATCACTAAAGACAAAAAAAAAAACAAAAACAATTTAAAAAAACTATACCAACATATTGCATATTTCCAATGCATGGATCTTAAAAAGGCTGATTTCTCTTGTAGGAGGGGGTAAATTTTTGGACTTTGAGGAGTCTGTAAGATCCTCCAAGGTCTTGCAAGGTCAAGAAAATGCTGGTTTATTATCACCTCTCTATGGATGTGATAAGTCAAACTGCCCATTGGATTTTGAGATGCAATCCATTGTACATCAAAGTCTTGCATCAAATGGAACAGAAAAAGCAAATTTTAGAGAGTTTATGATGAGTCAGCCACCCACCACTTACACAGGCTTCATGGAATCCAGTCGATTTCCGAAGGTCTTGCAAGGTCAAGAAATATGCTCGTTGAGGTCTCTGACAGGAAAAACTGATCGCAACTTTTTTAACATACATCAAAGACCCAAACCTAATTTCTACCCACTAGCTTCGGAAGGTGTTAGAAGTATGTACTTTCCTTACAGTGAGATTTACAAAGCTGGACATGATCCTGTAATGCTTTCTCATATGACAAACTTCCCAAGTGACAACGTTCCATTTAACGGATCTTCCATTCAAAGTGGGCATCCGAGGGATGAAGTTAGAAAGCCAAATCTACCAAACGAGCCACTGCAGGGAATGCTAGCTGCTCCTCCCTCTTCAGAGGCAAATTTTAAGACTCCGAAAGACGATACTTCAAATGGCTCTATGGATGGCTGTAAATTATTTGGTTTTTCTTTGATTGGAGAAACTCCTAATAAGCGGAGTTGTACGAAGGTTAGCTTTGGTACCACACTGCACTTCAATAAGTTTTTCTTTAACTCTTTCTGACCAATGAAATACATTGCGTAAAGGTCCACAAACAAGGAAGCTTGGTGGGAAGAGCGATTGATCTTTCGAGACTAAATGGTTATAATGACTTGCTGATTGAGCTAGAGAGACTCTTTACCATGGAAGGCCTTTTACGAGATCCTGATCAAGGATGGCGAATCTTGTACACTGACAGTGAGAATGACATGATGGTTGTTGGGGATGACCCATGGCAGTAAGTCTCCTCTCATTAACTTAATTTTTTTGGTTTTCTTTTTTGTCTCCCCATTCATTGCATGAATTTGATGGGAAAATTAAAATTAGTTGAACATTTCCATAAAAAAAATTGTGTTGAAGCAAATTGAGCTCCAAGTGCTCAATTAGCTGTTAATATGCATGACTTTAAGTGGTGGGAAAGGAAACTTGGCAATGGAAGACTTCTCAATTATGATGAATTGCCTTCAACTGCTTGTTCTTTTTCCGTTTTTGCTTACAATTCTTCAAACATTGTAAACTTTTCCATTACTCGATGGTGGAGGGAAAAAATTAGGGAAAATGATTGAGGTCCAAAATGACTTAAAAGCATAATTTCATTGGAGTTTCTGAGTGCATGTTTTTTTTTAGGATGCTAAAGAAACAGTCAGGAAAAGCAAGAAATAGCACAAAGGCCAAGGTGGATTTTTTTTTGGGTTATAGGGGTGGAGGGTTGAGTTGAAGGATAGGGAAACGGGCAAGATAATTTATTTGAAAAATTAGGGTGATTGTTTTGAAGTCCAAATGATGTGGTTAATACAAATATTTGAAATACAAGAGTCATTCAACTTTTTGCAAGTTATAATTTTTTTTGAAGCTGAAAGAGAATGAGGTTTTCTAGTAAATAAAGGGGGAATGGTAGAACTTTTATAAGTATGTGGCTTTGCAGAAGGAAAAAGGGTGACATGAAAACACTTGTATTTGGATCTATTGTGACATGGAGTGGTATTGAGAGAGCCGGCTCATTGTAATCTCGATATTCATAGTGAAACTCATTTGCGTTCTTGGCCCATTGATGTAGGCTTATAGCCAAATCACATAAATCCTCTGTGTGCTTGTGTGTTTGTGTCGTTTTAGCTTTTCTTAATTTTTTGCTTTTTCCAGAACACAAAGCATGGGAAAAAGGGGACATGAACAAAGACTATATTCACAAGTGTTTTACTTACCAAACATGAAAATATGCCTATATCTACCAATTATTGCAAAATAACTTGGATAAAAAGTTTTGTTAAAAAATTGATTGATGTTAAGAAATAAAACTATTTTGACTTGCTTCAGTATGATTTTTTGGAAATGTTCCTAAGATTTGGTAACTTTTGTTTTGCAGTGAGTTTTGCAACGTCGTATCCAAGATCCATATCTATACCCGGGAAGAAGTGGAGAAAATGACAATTGGAGTGATCAGTGATGACACTCACAGTTGTTTGGATGTGTCGAAATCACCATCCGTGGGCCAGCCGGATTCTCCCCCAAACATCAATTAGGATGCCAGGATCAGAAGAGATTATTTAGTAGGTCCGATCTATCAGGTGACATTGTACCTCTCCAAGAAGAAGAGACAAGTGCACACCACGTGTTCTATAGGCCAGACCAGGTAATTCCCCGTGTTAAGTATTGTGTTTGTTGTGTACCACATCAAACTTGGATCATCAATGATGTGTTTAAATATTACTGGCAACTCGTACTATAAATTTAGCATTTAGTCATGTATGTATTTTAACATGCGAGTATTTATGTAAGATTTGATACTTTGAGGTTTTATAATCATGGGAAAAACAGATGTGCTATTTATACTGTACCCCAAAAATTATATATATGTTGAAAAGTGCATGAAATTGAATTGTATGGTGTAGATTTGGTAGTGTGAGTCACAATGACGATTAATTTGATCCATACGTCTCAAATTTTGGGTACTACATTATTTTTGTTTATTTATATATTTATTTTTGGTTGAGTGAATTGATATATAGGTTGAAATTTCTCCTATAAATGTTCATTCCAATTGCTTATATGTAGGGACAGAATCAAAATTTCATGTTTGAAGATACCAAAACATGAGTAAATTTTTTTTTTTGTATTTATTGTAGATTTTTTTTTGGTTCTAAATCAAGATTTCATTTACTGGTCCATTTGTGTTTTTTATTTAAAATCCATAAATCATACTAAAATAAAATAAAATAAAAAATCATATATGGCTGGGGCTGGAGGCTGGTTTATGTAATACAAAGGATATACATAATGTTTTATTTTTGTCTTTTCGTGTAGTTTCGTTCCTACCTATATGTTGATTTTGAGAAAAACTTATAAGAGACTCGAATCTAAACATTTTTTTGTGAGAAGCTCGAAATTCTACCATCTTGCTACAAGCTTTGGTAGTAAGCTTTTGTGTTTAGTTCACGTGTAAAGATGCTTACATAGCATTGTTGAAAAGTCACTCTATCTTCTTATTTCAGTACGTCGTTCCAACACTTTAGTCAAGTTTCTAAGGCATTTCTCGAAAGACTAAAAAGTCATCCATGAAAACTTTTAAAAATTTCTCCACCATATCGGAGAAAATAGCCATCACTTATCGTTGAAAAGTCGCGGACTTTTTATTTTATATTTTATTTGTCAATAGTGTTCAAAATAAAACACATATGAAATAAAAATAAAAATTTGACATGTAAATCTCATCCATCTATCTCATATGTTGGAATTTTTTTATAAATTGATAGAGTATCGCGTGACACTATCTTTTACTAATGACAAATGTCGGTAGGGATGTTTTCAACCTTAAAGAAATGCCACTTTATTCAGCAACAAGTTCCATAGCTTGTCACAAATATTGAGCCTCCAGACCTCCTGAATTTCCTCATTCATGCACTTTCAACAATCAAATCCGCATTTAATTCATGTAGTTTACCTGATATGATTGTATCAATTTTTTTACTTAATTTTTTACATTGAGTTAATTTAATTTAATTAATAACGCTCCACTTATGGAGAAATTAGACTAAAATCACTCTCTTCAAAGTTCTTAAAGGATTGGAGTCGCTGTTTCCTTTTGAATTTGCTCGCCCACAATGTGAAAAATTAAGAGACAAAATTAGTACACAATTGAAATTATAGCCACCGAATTAACGGGAAATTCTATTCGCACACTATAAAAATTCTGGTTCACATCATTTTGTAACTCGAATATTAGTTTCGGAGCAAAAAATGAATTGTTCAGATATAAGCTATGTTTGGTAGTTAATATCCGAACAATTGATTTTTATTTAGAAATTAATATTCAAACATTTAGGGTGTGTTTGGTTTGTGTTTTGAAATAAATTTTCAAAAAAAAATTTGGGAAGAGAGTTTAAAAATTTTTTTAGTTTGTTTGGTTGTATATTTTGAAAATAGTTTTGAAGTTTGAGAGTTTGAGAGTTTGAGATGATATGATATTTTGTTGTAATTGATTAGATGTGTAAGAGAAAAAGTGATTGAAAATGAGAGAAAAGAGAAAAAATGATTAATTGATGTATAATAAAGAGAAAAGTAATTTTAAATTTTTTTTGAGAAATTTTGTAACCAAACTTGTTTTTGAAAATTTTCTTCCAGAAACATATTTTAAAACACAAACCAAACGCACTCTTAATTTTTGTTCAAAAATTGATATTTGTGAAATAAAGACAAAATACAATGTGCAAATAAGAACTCGTCAAATTAACAAAAGTAACAAATTACAAAAATTACCGTCGTTATTTACCCCTAATATTATTAAGATATATTTGAAAGATTAATGCTTCCTATCCCCACTGGGGGTTGACCCCCAGTGAGGTGTCACTGGGGGATTGGCCCAAAAGACAAACTGTTTTTTTTTTTTTTTTTTTCAGTGAGGTGTCACTGGGGATTGGCCCAAAAAACAAACTTTTTTTTTTTTTTTTTTTTTTTTTGAGTCTTCGGCCAGTGGGGGCGCCACGTCACTGGGGGCGCGACCCCCACTGGGGGTATGCAGCGGGGCTGTATTTGAAATAGAACCCAAAAATATAGGGTTCAATCAATAATTCCGATTCAGTGGGTCATAATCATATGGATCGCCAGCCTTCACGAAACGTCCCTTGACTCGCTTCCTCACATCAGCTCTCGCCTTGCGCGATGCGTATCTTATTATATTGTCAAATCTGTTTGTCAAAAAATTAAATTAAGGATTCGTTTGGCGAGTAATGATTTTAATTAAATAGTTAAAAAATTATTTTAAAAAATTAAAAAATCAATAATTTATACCAAAAATCAAATATTTTGTTTTTTTTTCTATTTTTTTGTAAATCATTTAGTAAAAAATTATCCCAAACATAATATTTTTTTTACATCATATTTTAACTAAAAAGTTACTAAAAAAAGCATGTTCCTAAACGAGACCTAAATTTTTAATTTTTTTAGTAATATTAGAAATCAACATATTTGGAGAGAGATTTAGAAAGGAAAAAAAAATGTACGTGAAATATTGATATATTTTATTCATATTTTACTAGGGTGTACATGGTTCGAACTAGTTCGGTTTTGAGAAAATCCAAGAGCCAAACCGATCCTAATGGTTCTGTGATTTTGAGAATCAGACCAAACCATTATACTTGTAAAACCGGATCAGAACCAAATCGAAAAAACGGTTCGATTGCGGTTTGGTTCACGGTTTCAAAAAATTCTATTTACAAGAATAAATTGTTAATATTAACAAAATAATTACTCAAACTGATTATATTTAACTCATGATAAAAACTAATAATATTAAAACATTACTCAACATTACATATTTATATCATCCTAACATCATTAAAATTACAAAAAAACCAATTAATAAAAATAAAACTTGATATGATAATATTAAATATTATATATGTATATATCTCTTATTAAATAACACTTATGTATGGCTCAAGGACTGCTGTTGTTTATTAAATATTATATATATATCTATATCTATATTTTAAAATTTGGTTTGGTTCAGTTCGGTTGGAACCGTGATTTTTTCATAAAATCCATTAACTGAACTGTTTTTATGGTGCTCAATATTTATTGAACCGAAACCAAAATGGTTCTTAACAGAACCGAACCGAACCGTACGATTCAGTCTGGTTCGGTCCGGATTACCGGTTTAAACGAATTTTTGAACAGCCCTATATTGTACCTACTTTTCTATTTTCCTTTCCAAATCTCTCTTCAAATCTATCAACACAGCAGTAATGATGTGGTATAAGAATTGGGCGCATCATTATTAAATGTGTAATAAATTAAAAATTAACACATCCTTTCACATCATTGTGGATATTTTTCAAACATTTTTATTAAAAAAATTTTAATACACAAGTACAAAAAGTGTAATTTAACACCTTGTTTGGTTTCAAATTTTCAAAAACAGCTTTTTGAGTTTTTAATTCGTATTTTTATATTTTTAATAATTTCTAAAATATTGTAATCAATTTTTTTCTCCAAATTTTTAGATCTAATTAATTTTAATTTACTTACAAAAATATTTAAAAAATTCAACAAAATACGAAAATGGTAAAAAAAAATTTAATTTTTTTTCACAAATATTATAATTTTTTAAATATTTTTAAATAAGATATATCTAAAAAAAAAAATACATAAAAAATTTTAAAAATTTACTAAAAATAAAAAATCAAAAAAATTAATTTTTTAATTAAAAAATAGATTCAATTTTCTCAACTCAAATTTATCCAACATAAATTAAATGAAAGGGTTGGGCTTTTCTCCAGTCCGATCACGGACTAGAGGGTATTGTTGGGCCCATAAGGGCCCATTACGGGTCCCGTTTCGATAATCTGAACTGTTCAATATATAGAACTCGTCGAATACTATATGTCTGTAAAAAATCACGAATTGTTAACTGTGATGGGCCTTCACGGCCCAACACTGCACTCCAGTCCAATCACGGACTGGAGAGAAGCCAGCCCTTGAAAGAAAAAAAGGTAAATTACAAATACACTTTTTGAGGTTTGATTAAAATATAAATCGTTCCTTGTAGTTTTGGAAATTATATTCCATCCTCTCAGGTTTCTAATTTCATAACAAATCGCCTATTTTATTAATAAATCATTAAGTCAATTAACAGTTTTTAATAATGTTATAAATATATTTCAATTAATAATTTAGATAATTTTATTATTATATAAGAGAATAATTATGATTTTTTTAGTTAATTTTATTAAATAAAAAATTTTAATAAAAAAATATTTATAATTTTTCAAAACAATATTGTAATTTAAGCAAACCTAGCGTGTATTTGTAATTTATACGAAAGAAAATCATGTTTGGGAACTTACTTGCGAGTCTTCTTCTTTTCCTTGTAACGCAAGACAGCATTTTCTCTGTTAGCTGACAACAATAATGGACTATGCAATGGAGGTTCCCCAAATGGAGAATGCATTGCAGAGATGTTACAATCTTCATTATAATCTCCTCCACCACCACTCCCACTCCCACTCCCACTCTCACCACCACCACTCAGGCCACCAAACGAAAGCGTCCCGCAAAGGCTTCGATCAACATCATAGTTTGTCGTAGAATCAGCAGATACTTGATCTCTGTATCCTTGTTCCGTTGCTTGAATTTGTGTAGCCGATTGAACCTGGAAAGATTAAAAACACCCGAAACACTTTCTGGGTTAGTTCCTATTTACAAAGCATCTTGAAAAGAAAACCAGTGTTTACAGAGGAGGATTGTGATGTTAAGATTGACCGCCATGGATGGTTCTAGTTACCCAGATTGGTCTAATATGTTGAGGTTTACTTTAAAGACAAAGATATATTGTTTTCAGAGAGAGCAGGTTTGCGCAGACCAGGTGTTCGACAAAAATCCCGAACCAAATACCCAAAAACAGACAGCGAAAAATGGGTAAAAGCTCTGTGTGTGAAATCCAAGCATGAAATCGAGTAAGGAGTGAGTCAGCATGGTGGGTAAAAGTTAGTTGAAGAACAAATCTGTTGCATAAAAAAGTTTTCATTGAAGGTGTTCCATGATCAACAACACTCCAATGGGGAAGGGCTCTGAATTTGGTTGAGTTTTTGGAATCTGTTTTTTGAAAAATAATTTAAAAACTAGTTTGAAAAAAAAAATCATTATTTTCATATGATTTCCTCTTTTTTGGGCTGAAATGATTTTTAAAAATTCAAAAATCTATTTTTTGGTATTTATCTTTATCAAATTAGTTTTTCTAGTTTTCAAAAAAATTAAGTTTTGAAAACTCAACCAAACAGAGCCACTGCCAATGATTTCATGGGGGTTCTGGTGATGGATGAACAAGATGCATAAAGTTGGGGGAAATTGAAAATTCTAAGTATTTGGCAATCAAGGCTTTTAAGTTTTTTGGGTTTTGATGATGAATGCTCTGTTGACAAACAGGACTTCTGTAGTTGTGAAGGGGATTGTTCTTGTGGGAACTTTGGCAGACAGTACAGTGCATGGGGTGTGCTGAATAAGGTTTTATTCGATTCTGATGCTTGGTGAGTTTAGAAATGGAAACTCCGGAGAGATTTAAGGAAACGGGAGTTGAAAGGGTACAGACAGCGATTGCAGTTTAAGGGAGGTCTCACTTGATGCACCAATGGCAAATAAAGGTTGGAACCCAAATCCAAGAGGGTGACACTGTACAGGCGTGCATGGAATTGATGCTCCTCTCCCCTAACCTGGAGAATATTGCTGAAGACAGTTGTGTGGGTCAAACTCAGCTCTATATGCCGGGTGAGTCCAAAATAGCTCAAAAGTCAATTACTTCATGGAATGATTCATTTAAGGAGTCAAACTGTGAGAATATTGCCATAAAAAATTCAAAAAATTAAATGTAGATTTTGGAAATAATGAGCTTTTAAAGTCCTAACTGAAATCTCAAAATCCAGATATGTAAAATTGGATTACGCTGCTTTATCCTCTTTTCACCAAGTTAAACAATGGGCTGAGAAATTGTGGAAATATGGTCTTGAAGAAGTCATCACTCTTGACAATGCCTTCTTTATTTTTAAAATTAAATGTGAAGAAGCTTTAATGAAGATTTTGGAAGTTGGGCCATTTAACTAATTTTGTAGTGAATAGATGGCACCCATGTATGCCATTGACTAGGACTGAGTTCTCTCCTGTGCCAGTTTGGATTTTGGATAGAAGATGGTTTGAGCTATGTGGCTAGTGTGCTTGGTACACCTTTGTGCCCTGATGAGTATAATCAGTCCCATAGTAGACTTACTTTTGCCAAAGTGTGTGTTAAAATCCATGAAAAATAAGGAGATTCCTAATTCTTTCATGCTTAATTTAGGTTGCGGGAGTCCTTGTGGAGTTAGAGTTGAAGTGCCATGGAAACCCCAAAAAAGTGATGAGAGCAAGGCTTTTGCTCATTCAAATAACTCTTCTTGTCCTTGTGAACCGAAGCCCATGGCTTCTACCAAACAAGAATTGAGAGTTAAAGAGGATAAAATGGACACAAAACCTAGTGAATGGGAAGATGTTACAAAGAGAACCTGAAAGCTGGTTGTTCACAATGTGTTCCCAATGAGGTAGAGATTCCAGAGGAGGAGATGATTGTAAAGGAGAGGGAGAGGGAGAGGGGAACACATGAGGAACATGCTATGGATGAAATAATTACTACAAGGAAATAGGAACCTAGGATTCTTGGTTCACCTTAAAACAAACCACACCGATCTGTGAATACCCCTAACTGTATTGCCATTTCCATCTTGGGCCATGAAAATCATTCATGACCAAGTTCAATATCAACACTCTTTTCTATCCCAGATATATAACTACGCCCCCCACCCAAAAAATAAAAAAATAAATAAATAAAATAAAATAAAATAACACGGATAGTACAAAAACACAAACTAACATGGCTTGCTTTCTGCCCAAGAGTCCTTGTACCACACTAGGAGGTTAGAGATTTTATTCTCCTCAGCCGTGTGTGGGTCTTTCTTCCCTTATAGTTGTTTGTTGGTCTTTCTTACGTGATTTGTATGATAGGTTGTGATAGATTCGTAGTGTTGTATTGTTGGAACTTTTTATATAGTTGAATGTTCATTCTAATAAATTCTCGTGATATTTATAAATTATCTTCTACCAAGTGACAAAAAATGAAAAAGCAGAAAATAGTCATGGACATTTTTCACCAAACATTGAAATTTTGAGATGTTCACAGGCATTTAGTTAAAATTCTGTGACAATGCAGATCAGATTATTAATGTAACAGAAATTTTGTAAATTCCATTTGGAGTATAGTAAAGACTCCACACTCTTTTACAAAAAAAGAAAAAAGAAAAAAGACTCCACACTTTGACACCAACTCATGAAACAAACTAAACAGTAAGTAAAAATGAAACTAAATAAGTTAACCAAAAAAGAGAAGAGAAAAACATGAGATGGACTACAATAAAAGAATGAATTAGAGGGAGAACCTCAGAAGCAAATGCACAGTGTGTCTTGATATCAGCATCATCTGCATCCCCACTTTCAAACAAGTTACCAGTTCCAAAGAGTTGTTCAAAGTTCTCCAAACTCAAGTCAATATCATCCATGTTGAAGTCTTTGAAAAAATCATCATTCAAAATCCCAGTGCCTTTTCTTCCAGAGAAGCATAGCTGCATATTAAGGGATAGAAATCATATAAAATAAGATTACAGTCAAAGCCTGAAAATTTTCAAGCATATCTGAACAAATAAAATAAATGCTCAAATGTCCATGCCAACATAGGCACATATCCACAAACATGCATCGTGATTTAAAGTAAGCATCAAGTTCCATGCATTTTATTTAGGAGTGGGAATTATGTCGTGCTTGTACTGTGTTATTTATCAAGTTCGATGCATCCCTTTCGTTTCTGTTTCAAACTTAACCAAAGCAACATACTGAAACTATTTAATTTTTATCTAATGCAATAGCACAAAATGATGTGAGGGCAAGTAAGTAATTCATCGTTCCAAAAAAGACCTTCAAACAGAAGAGACAACAGACTTCCTCAACTTGAATCAGTGAAAAAAATTGGGCACCTGAAGAATTGTAAAAATATGGAAGGGTAATTTAGAGACAATATTTAAGGCCAACTATGTATGTGTTCAATATCTCATTCCAGTATAGAAAGTGAGCACTAAAAAAAATGTTAGGAACACTAATAAATATACCAACAAACATAAAACTGTTGCAAAAATCATCTTTCTGCGACAAAATTACCAACCCGTCGTGAAAATTTTAAAAATAAAAAATGTGGTCAAGTCTCCTCTCAGTAAACTTGAGCACTACACTACTACAAATTGAAGGGAAATTTTTGTGCCAAATTTACTTACCATCTAACATAACACTTTACATGTCATGGAGCATAGGGTCAACTGCACTAATGCAGTGATAACACATCAGATGGTAAGCAAATTTGGTACAAATATTTGGTCATATTACCCGTGCTTAAAAATCTCTCTTCGGTACAACAAAAGAAAAAACACAAACAAAACACCAATATCTGGAATACCTTCATGTAGTCAAACCTAAGGGAAACAACAATACCATAAAATATAGATATTTGCCACTTATTAGTTCTGAGTGCATTTTTTCAATACAAAACAAGAAACAAAAACAAAAACAGTGAAAACAGAAGGAAAAACAAACCCAGAGATCACTCTGAGAGAACAATATACTAATAGTAATCAATTTAGTATGGCCATTTGACAGCACACACAAACATTATATATATAAGAATATATAACATATCTCTTGTTTTGTGAAAAACCATTCCCCTGCATGTCTGAGGCTTGCAATAACATGCTATTATTGATGGATTGCCCTTCAAACCATATGATATTGATGAGAATTTGAGGGTTTTAAAGGTACATTGGGTTTGTGGTGCCTAATTAGTACTGTAAACTTCATCATGCGATCACAGATCCAATTAAGGGTATTACGGTAATTTATTAATGTAAATCCTAGCATATATATTGTTGTTTTCACAGCAGCCCCATCGTACTCCTTTTTTCTCAGTATAGTAGAACTGATACTGAACCACATAAATCTGTGTGTCATCTTTCCTTATTTGTGATTGTTTCTTCTCACTATTGTTTGTGTGCATGTGTGATTTATTCCACAACATGGAATTGTTTTCTATATTTTAGAAATCATGAGTAGTGAACTTGGCTAGGTTTCTTCTTGCCATTGCCATCCATTCTTTACCTCAATTTCCATATCAACCATCTTCTTTTCTTCCAAATCTTGATCCATTGTGCTCTCGTTCAACTGAGGATTGATCAAACAGTTAACACGACTTTCTTCGTTGGTCGAGCCCATTAAACCACCACTTCCCTGCTGCTCACAGCTCAGTGCAGTATCATCATCCTCCAAACCCAAAGGAAATTCCAAATCAAATGACCAGATGTTTGAAAGCTCTGCCGCCGTAGGGCAACCAGAATAGCAACTGATCGCCTCCTCCTGCCTCCTCTTGTGCCCCGATGAAGCGGGACCTGCCTCGTACCCATCAATCCAATAACAGTTTTGGCAGAAGCAGATCTTTTCTTGAACACACCTTACAATTGCAGGCTGAGAATTGCATCTTTTGCAGATGAGAGTCCGTGAGTGGCGCCGCGAAATGGTATTGGCAGAGTGGACATTCCGGTCACACGAGAAACACAAGCACACATTGTCAGACTGACAATACACCATGGATCTTTGATCTCCGCAGAAATCACATTGTTGGCCCATTTTTCAACAACCTCTATAATATATAGTAATTCACTTCCACTTAGACGATTAGAGAACCTACATGGGTCCAATACAAGCCAAATTAACAGTTTGTAGTTCAAAAATGTTTTTTAGAATTGTTTTTGAAATCATTGTTCAACACACACGCACACACACACACACACATGTATATATGTGACAGGTTCTGGGTAGCAAAAAAGAGAGAAGAGTTCACTCCATGAAACAACCTAATAAAGCATACAGGATCTGGTTTTCATGTAAAAAAAAAAAAACCTTTGAGAACTTACAGTAGTCATTCAAACCATCAACAATCAAAATTGAGCTCCAACTCCAAAAAGAAAAGAAAGGAAAGGAAAAATTAGAGCTCCATATTTGATCAGAAGGAAATCCACCAACCTGAAGAGAAGATTTCACATACTCAAGCTTGCTAGGGAGATGCAAACTTTTTTGTTTTTGTTGTTGTTCCTGGCCTTTTGGGTTGTCCTTGGCTTTGCTCTTTGGTTAATTTTTTCTATTGGGAACGGCTTTGGTAGACTCCCATAAAAGGGTGCATATTGTATGTTTTATGTTTTTTTTTTTTTTTTTTTTTTTTTTTTTTTTTTTTTTTTTTTTTTTTTTTTTTTTTTTTAAAA